GCCACATCTCGCCCCCCCACGCCCTACCCCGAGATGAGGAGCCGGTCAGAGTATGTGCAGTCGCTGAGAGGGCACCCCACCAAGGCGCTGCAGATGGGGGCGCTGATCGCCACCTACTCCGAGCGCCAGGCATCGTTCATCGCACTGGCGACCATCAAGGGGGGTTTCGATCAGGAGAGAGGAGAGGACGACGAGCACGAGGGCATCGGGCACTGCAGATACGGCGGGGGGTAGACAGGCCGTCAGTTTCTGTGCATGGATGAGTCCGTGAGTGTGATCAACGACTGCGTTTATCGGTCGGTTCATGTTGCGTGCTGAGAGAGACGTGAGACTTGTCGTCTTTTTCCTCCAACTTGCTTGTCCGGTTGTCCTTGTGTGTATGTGTGTGGGTAAGGGAGTCAGCTGTAGAGTAGTATCCCATTATCCACACCCTTCCTTACTGACAGTCTACGATGAGATCTGTTGCTGCCCGTGACACGTGTGTGTATGTGTGTGAATACACATCTTCCTCCTGGTGCATGTGTGTGTGCATGCATTCTGTCCGCGTGCGCATTTTTCGCCCAGACACCTGTCTGTCTGTCCGTGCGTGTGCTGTACATGTGCGGTTTGCCCTCAGACTCAATGCGCCAGAGCCGCCGAGGCTTACGTAGCTGAGGCGTTTGGACCAACGATCAGGGTTTAGGGTTCCACCTGCCCTAAATCCCTAACCCCAACCCTACATTGGACCGCTTGCGTCGTTTGCAGCTGGTGTTGTTTGCTTCCGTTCGGAGACCATTCCCTACCCGTGAACCGCTTCCCCCCGGCGTCAGATCTCCTTGTGTGCGAGATGAACCGGAGAGCGGACGGCAGGTCAGGTCGCACCACAGATCTAAATTGAGTCGATACGGAGATGATTGTCCGCCTGTGTCCTTGCTTGTATCGTAGGAACGAGGAGGAGAGGGAGGAAAGGGAGAGGGAGGAGAGCAACGACGGTCGGGGAGCGGCAATACTCGCCGGACTCCTTGGTGCAGGCGTGGCGCTTGCTACCGGCTATTGGCTCGCCAGCGGACGAGAAAGGACGGAAACCGCGCCAAGGGGTGGCATCAACCAGACGGTGAGCGCCAGATCTGGATTGTCCCTTCTCAGACTGTCTGATCTCCCTTCTTGCCTCCCTGTGACGTAGGTCGAAGCTCCATCACGTACGTCCGGAGGACACAGCCAGGTGAGGTCAACACGCCTTCTTGACCAGTAAGTGTCTGTTGTACCATCTGCCGGCTTTGGTGACGAACCTGCCAGGTGGCACGACGGTCTGACACTCTCCGATGCGCGTTGGTCGTCGACGGAGCGAACGTGATCCACTGCCACGAAGGTGCATCCCCGACTCGCTTCTCGTTTGAGGACTTCTTTCGCTACGGCAACGAGATAAAACAGGCTTTTGGGTCACGACTGGGCAAGGAGATCATCTTCCGGAGAGACCACTCGGTCTTCGTCACTACGACCCCGGCAGGGTGGAGAGAGCGCCGCGACGAGATGGGTGCACTGCACGAGAGTATCGAGCGCAGCGGTGTTTCTGTATTGGAGGTGGAGATGAGGCAGGGGCATGGCGGAAGGACTGTGCAGCAGGGCGCGGATGTGGCCATCGCGACGAAGCTAGTGGAGGCAGCTCGAGAGAGAGATGTCGATGCCGTGATTCTCTTCTCTGGAGACGGTGAGAGAACATTCTACGCCAGAGAATGTATATTTGGCTGTCTGCATTTGGACTCGGGTGCACTTCTCGCTTCGGGTCAGGTGACTTGGTTCACGCACTGTACTCCGTCCAACAGACGACGGACACGCGCATCTTCGTGTGCGGATTTCGCGGCACAGTCAGGTGAGAACAAGGGGGGGTCACTGTGCACACACGACGTCTCTGTGTCTTGTATCTCTAAACTGGTAACTGCAGCAATGCACTGAGACGCGGGCCGATCGACCTCTTGCACTTCATCGACGTTGAATAAGTTGACGCCATGTGCTGACAGTCGACTACCGCATTGACGGCGACTGACGCCATGGCGACATCGCACTGTCATTTCACTACTGTCAATTGACTAGATCTCTGTGTCTTAGTTTGTAATACGTGCCGGTCGTTCCGTTGCTCTGTTGCACTTGCTGGTCACTGATTGCGCGCTGCGTTGTGGCAGCGGTAGATGATGGAAGGAGCACTTCGTGTTAGGCTGCCTGTGCGCTTTCCCCTCGTGCATGGCCCCTCGCAAAACTCCTGCCTGCGTGCTACTTTCTGATGTCTTTGTGGACTCTCTGTGTTGATGTTGATGTTACATGTGTGTCTGCGCTGTGTGTATCGTGTTCGAATGTGTGTGCCCATGCCAGACCACCGCGTGTGTGCCTGTTGGAGACGACTCTGTGTGTGTGTGTCGTTTGTCCTCCTGGGGTGAGTGGAGGAGTGCTGGGTCGGCCGCACGCGCTGTGTGCAGAGATGGACCCAAATCCCCACCCCTTTGATGGTGCAATCTCCGTGTGAACGTTTTTTGATGACATTCGACTGAGCAGCTGCCTGATGCACTTCACATTGATCGCCCGATGGCCGAGAGTGGCGCATCAGCAAGCAGCCCAAGCAACGGTGTCAGTGCCCATTTATGGGTCTCACAAGACATCTGTATCTCTGTCCCTATGTCTGTCTTGTCTCGCATACAGTATGATGCACGCACAAATAGGCAGCAGCCAGAGAAATACAGACACAGGGGAGTGTCAGTGAGGCTTGGCGCCTCATGACGCCCC